GCTAGGGGGGTTATATTTCTGTTGAACCACAATTCAAAAGCAATGTCATGATTTTCATTACATTTTTATTTATTATTACTTTTGTCGATTTCAACTTATTTCAGTAACAGATGTTTTTTTCCTTCTTTAATGGAGGGTAGGAATACATTTGAGGACGACTGTATATAGTATAAAATACCAATGGTTCTCAGGCATGTTGTGTACTTCTGTGACTGTAAATAGTTTTCAGGTCTGTCAGAAACCAGCTCTTGGTGTTGGTAGAATGAATTCACCTCAGTACACAGTCAGAAAGAAAGTAGGTCACCCTGCAGATCAAACGTGATCCTCTGCAGTCCGAAGCAGCGAGGCGACTCTCTGCATCCTGTCTCTTTGACCACTGGCAGCTCTCTCAGCGCTCTGATCTCGTTTTTCTTCTCTGCAGGCCGAGAAAGCCGAAGGATTCATCAACCTTTCCGGCTTCACCGTCCAACAGGCCAAGCAGTGCAGGAAGAAACAGTACGACGCGTTTGCTTTTACCAGTCCGTCTTAAAGTGTGCAGCTCTCAGTTAGAGCCGACCCACAAAAACCCAGCACCGGCCTGAGTCGGCTGTTTGTGGCCAGACACTCTGCTGCTGCTGCTTCACACTGTCAACATGAAGTTACACCAACATAATGTCTTTAAAAAAAACACATACAGTTAAACAGTAGTCCAACTGTCTCATTTGGTCAAATCAAATTTACGTGGTGAGAAATCTGCTGAGTGACTCCATCAGCTGTTGATGTGTGCAGTAGGTTAGTGTGTGTTTGACCTCTGACCTGCTCTGTGTTTGGTTTCAGTGCCATCACAGCCAGTCATCCTCTTGTTGTGAACATTCTGATCGCTGCAGAAAGCTTCACAGAGATGAACAAGTGAGTATGTCACTGCTTCCTGACTACTTTACTATTTATTTTCACCTTATAAGTAATATTAGGAGGATTTTTAATACTGAGCCTGAGTAGGAAGTGTAACAGTCTTTATTCTATTTAGGCTGAACTATGGGTCCATTATACAATACACCTGCTGACCACCAACATGTAGTACCACTTTGCACATAACACAACATCACAAAGCTGCTAGCTGCCTCATTGTAGACTGATTTTTAGTTTTTGCTGCAACACAATGTCACCCAGCGAGGCACCATGGCCGCCTGATGTGAATGCTATATGTCTGCTATTATAAATAATATTAGAGGAAAGGGTAGACGTTTCCAAAACCCCTTTGAAATCTAAAATTAAGATAACACTGCATATATTGTTTTTACCTTTATGCCATGTATAAAAAAAAAAACTTGTGTGTTGCATTTATGAAATCAATGAACTGCTACAGAGAAAACAAAATTTTATTTCTGCAACAAAAACATTTTTAACACCAACAACAACAAAAAAGACGCTGGGTTGAAGGTTACCTTTAATTAAAATACTAAATATCTATTTAAATTACCCTGGTATTTATGAAATAAAAAGCCAATCTTAAATTATCCACCTAAAGCAAACTAAAAATGCCTTCTGGTTGTCCTGCTGCCTGCAGCTGGACTGCTGACCAGACTGCTGACCGCCTGTGAGCGCTTTGGGACGGGAGGAGCTCACGGCAGCACCGCTGCTCGTTGAGGACAGTAACTGCACAATGATACGTGTTTTCAGAGTCTCCAAAACACCAGAAAAGTCTCCAATAACACTAGAAAGAGTCGCTAGATTTGTTGCTAGTCACTTTAGCCAAAAAAACCCTCAAAAAACTGCCAAGATGATTTGGAAATTTGCCAGATTTAGCGAGAACGTCATCAAGGTGGCAACACTGCACATGTCGGCGAGTGTCGCACATCAGTGGTTATGACCCATATTTTGAGCAAGTTCACAAACATCTTCAAATTTAGAATTACATTTTAAAAACTAACGAGCTAAAATAAAATACATTTAAATTAAAATACTCACTATTTATTTTCCAAAGCCACAAGGAACCACAGCAGAGGTACCCCTGCTCTAGATGATGTGATGACTCTCCAGATGGATTTTAACCTGATTACTCTACTTATACATCTACAAGGCTCATAGTTCCAAGATCCAGATATCACCTTTGACCTGGGGACTCTAATCATATACAATGACGTGGAACACCAGATACCACAGGAAGTAAAGGGGTTACTACAACAACTGGGGTTCATCCTATGAGGACCAAGAACATCTAGAGCTTTTTTTTTGTTTTTTTAGCATTCCTGTCTTCATTAGACAGTTACAGTAAACACAAACAAGAAAGCGGTGTCATGTATTTTCAGTATGTGGTAATGTTCATCGCCTGTTATGCCACCACTTTTAGAGGAACAAAAATGTACTTAGTTCCTCTTCCTCCTCATCATCTTCATATCTCTGTTTGTCATCTTGTGATTTGATGAGTGGTTGCTGTCTATCATGTCGAATGCTGCAGTCTTTAAGGCCGAGAATCTGTCTGCAGGTGGATCAGCAAACTGTCAGAAGCAGCCGAGCCGTGCGAACTGATCGACAGCGAAGGTCAGACGCTTAAATATAACTGACACACATCTGTACTGTATGTGGTGCAAACAAGAAAACAATCATGATCATTAACCGCTGTTACTTCCTTTCATAGTTCTTCTTCTCTTTTAAATGATACCCTTCTGTTCTCTACATCTTCCTACATTTTAATGTTTTGATTCCAACTTTATTTTTCTAGTCTTTCTTCTCATTTTTTCTCCCTTTGTGTCCTCACTCCCATCTTCCTTTTTCACAGAATTCTAACTCATTTTTCTTTTCTTTCCTTCTGCAGCTGCTTCACTCCTTTCCTTCCTTTGCTTTTCTATTAATTTTTTTCATTCCTGTGTGGCTGCTCCTTTTTCTTCTTCCAAACTTTGCTCGTCTTTATATATTTCTTATTTTAAGTCTTTTTCCTTCCATCTTTCTGACTCTACTCCCATCTTTAACTTCTTGTAACTCCTTTTCTCCTTTTCTTCTTGTGTCCTTCCTTTACTCTCTCTGTTTATCTGTTTACTTCTTTTGTTTTTTTGCCCGTGCAGAGTGCTACAGCGAGGGGAGCGATCAGGACGTTGACGACTGTTCTCTGGACTCTCAACTGGACGCAGAAGACTCTGAATATGTGAGCTACAAGGTCTACACTGACAAAATCCACATGAACCTGGGCACTAAAAACAACACCTTGTGCCATAGTTCATGACAGAAAACAACAGCTGCTGCTGCATCCAGGATAAAGCGTCAAACTTTCCCTGCTCTCTAAATCGCACATTTTGTTTTGTCCTACCAATACAGTCGTCCTCAAATGTATTCATACCCTTCCATTAAAGAAAATTCACAATAGTCACTCAAACAACTAGAGACTGAAAAAAGTAATAATAAATAAAAATTTGCTAAATTATAATTTAGTGAAATAAGATGTTGCTTCTGAATTTTGGTTGAAAAGAATAATTTTAAAAAACAAAAACAAAACTGTCCTGGACAAATTAGAGCACTTTGCTGATGAGCAGTGGGACAAAATCAAAATCCCTGTCAACAGGTGCAGAAGTCTGATGGAGAGTTACAGGAAACACTTGATGCAGTGATTGGCTCAAAGGGTTGTTCAACTAAATAATAGTTTTCGGGTCCCATCATGCTTGTTTTTTTTGTTTGTTTGTTTTTTAAAATACTTCTGTTGAACCACAATTCAAAATCAGTGTCAGTATGCATACAATTAGGATGTAGTACTTTGTCATAATATTGCTCCTTAAGCTTTAACTGTCTTGTTTATATATTGATTGTGGGTCACAAGAACCAGAAATGCAGCCCTGCATAAGGCAAAAAGGAGTCGCCCCCTGCTGGCAGCTAGGAAGTATGCAGGTTTAAGGCGTTTCCATGCTCACTTTTCAGACCTGGAGGCTACAGTCATCTTTTCTATACAGCCTTTGGATTTTACTTTCAAGGAGCTGTCATGATGCCCAGAATTATATACAGTTAAATGCTGACCATTAAGAAAATGTCGCCATTTCTGGACAAAACCTCTCTGTCTTCACCCATAGTTTCACTAAAGAACAAATTTGAGTCGTAGTTTGGTGACACTGGCTGTCGCCATCTTGGCTGAACCCTCCTAACTACCATGTAAGGCTAAAATGAGCCAAGAGTGGAGTCATG